GACATCCTCCTCAATAAATGGTGCTGGGAAAACTAGATATTCACGTATAGAAATTGAAACTAGACCCCTGTCTCTCACTATACACAAAAATCAACTCAAAATGTATCAAAGACCTAAATTTAAGACCTGAAACTATGAAACTATTAGAAGAAAACATAGGGTAAATGCTACATGAAATGGTACTGGGCAGTGATTCCTTGAATAAGAGTAAAAAGGCACAGGCAACTAAAGCAAAAATACACAGATGGGACTACATCAAACCCAAAAAGCTTCTGCACAGCAAAGGACATGATCAATAAAGTGAAACAACAACATCCAAAACGGGAGAAAGAGTGAACTACACATCAGACAAGGGGGCTAATATCCAGAATATATAAGGAACTCAAACAACTGAGCAGCAAAAAAAAAAAAGGGGGGGGGGGCAAAGGACCTAAACAGACATTTCTCAAAAGAAGACATACCAATGACCAACAAGCACATGAAAAAAATACTCAGAATCACTAATCATCAGGGAAGTGCCAATTAAAACCACAGTGAGATACATCTTGCTCCAAGTAGAATGACTACTATCAAAAAGACAAAAAATAACAAATGCTGGCAAAGATGTGAAGAAAGGGACTCTTGTACATTGTTGGTGGGAATGTAAATTGATACAGCCATTGTGGAAAACAGTATGGAGATTCCTCAGAGAACTAAAACCTGAACTACCTTATGACCTAGCAGTTCTGCAACTAGGAATATGCCCAAAGGAAACAAAATCAGTGTATCAAAGAGGCACCTACACTCCAATGTTCACTGCAACAGTATTCACAGTAACCAAGAGATGGGATCAGTCTAAATGCTCATTAGTGAATGAATGGATAAAAACAAACAAAAAAAAAATGGTATTTGTACACAAGGGAATACTCCTCAGCTATTTAAAAAAATGAAATCCTGTCATTTGCAGCAACATAGATGGAACTAGAGACCATTATGGTGAGTAAATCAGGCACAGAAAAAAAAAATACCACATGATCTGTCTCCTACGTGGAATCTAAAAAGAAGACAAAAATAGTTCTGATAGAATAGAGAGTAGAATAATGGTTACCAGGGGATGTGAGGGGAGGAGAAATTGTCAGTTAATAGGTACAAAGCTATGCTGTGTATTCTAAGTGAATCCATGTACAGTATATGTGTGTATTGAAACAACACACTATACCCCACAAATATGTACAAATAAATGTTTAAATTAAAAAGAAAGAAACCCTCAAATTAATAACCTAATCTTTTACCTTAAGAAACTAGAAAAAAAGAGTAATTAGAAATAAGCAGAAGGAAGAAAATAATATTAGATTAGAAAAAAATTGAACAGTAGAAAAACAAAGTTAAAAAAAAAGTTTGTTCTTTGAGAAGATCAGCAAAGTCAGTAAGCCTTTTGCTAGATAGATCAAGAAAAAAAAGAGAAGACTCAATTGACCAAAATCAAGAATGAAAGAGGAGACATTAGTACCAACTTTACAGAAACAGAATTATAAGGTGATGCTGTGAACGATTGTATGCCAACAAATTCCATAAACTAAATGAAATGGAAAATTTCTAGAAAAACACAAACTATCAGAACTGACCCAGGAAGGAATAGGAAATCTGAATAGACCTATAGCAAGTAAAGAAATAAAATTAGTAGTAAACAAAACAAAATTTTCCACAAAAGCCTGAACATTTAAAGAATTAGCATCAGTCTTTCACATGCTCTTCTGAAAGAAAGGAGAAAACACTTCCCAACTCATTCTTCAAGGCCAGTATTACCCTGATAGCAAAACCAAAGACATCACAATAAGAGAAAACTATGGAACTTTTATGCATCAAAGGACACAGTCAATAGAGTAAAAAGACAACATATGGAGTGGGAGAAAATATTCACTCAGTGGGAGAAATTATTTATCTGATAAGGAGTCAATGTCCAGAATATATAAAGAGCTCTACAACTCAACAACAAAAAATCAAATAATTTGATTAAAAATTGGGCACAGGGTTTAAACAGATATTTCTCCAGAGATGATGTATAGTGGCCAATAAGTACATGAAAAGATGTTCAACATCACTAATCATCAGAGAAATGCTAATCAAAACCACATTAAGATATCACTTCATACCCATAAAAATGGCTACTATAAATTAAAAAAAAAAAATAAGTGCTGGTGTGGATGTGGAGATATTGGAACACTTGTTGGTTGGATTTTAAAATGGTGCAACAGTATGGAAAACAGTATGGGGACCCTCAAAAAAGTAGAAATAAAACTA